AAANAGNACNANANNTTAGTACTACTACTATATTATAGTGAATCAAATCCAACTGCAGCTGCAGCAAAAGAAGTACATATCATGTTTTCAGCTTTCTGGGGATACTCAACTCAAGCATGCGCAGCATTTCAGTAGTATTATTTTTCTTTTCTTTATTATATTATTATTTACAATATACTGATCCCGTTAATAAATATAGTATTTTGCATTATTGTATTGTGGGGAGGTGGGGGAGTTAGAAGAAGAAATCATTGCAGTATTGTACCCCAGTTATTATTACAATTTATTATTATTAATTTTTTCAAAGTATACATAGCTTTTAGGTATTTTTCCCTTTTTCATAATCCCCTCCTTTATTTTCTTGTTTGATTCGATTGCTTTTTTTTTTTTTTAAACATTTTTTATTGATTTTTTATTTTTGGGTAACTTTAGGTACACATCCTACCACGCGAGATGCTGGGAAAATCGACTTTTGGGCTGTCCATGTGGCTGCTCAAGTGGCTGCCCATGCGCCTTGTGGACCGCTTGCTGTTGGTGGCTTCACGGCTGTTGCTAGGTGACACGGGCCGTTTTGGGCTGGAGAGGCCCACTTTAGGCCCACTTGAGCTAAAGAATATTTCTGGTAAGACACCAGTATTGGACGTTGGAACCCTTGACAAGATCAAAAGTGGAGACATCAAGGTACAATCTCCCACTCCTATAAACATAATATCACTTCCATCAATCAACTTTATTTATTTTCTTTGTACTGCCTTTTCTGTTACAAATCTCCTCTTAATCTTAATATGCGCCTTTTCTCAATCATTGAATTTGCTTTGCTAATAAACAGCAAATTTCCCCATTTTGCGGTGCGATGACAGAAATCACCAATTTTGTCCAAACAGCCCTTTCTTCTCTTTAAGCATTGATTAAGATTACAAGAGAGAGATTGCATCTTTCATTTTGCCTTTTCTGGAAAAGAGTTTTCGTATGGTTTTGACTAATAAATGTTTATATTTAGGAGGCATGTTTAAAAGATTCTGGTCTTGTATGGATAAATAGTATATGGATGCTTTTTCTTTATGTGAATTGTTGTTTCCTATATTAAGTCATTATTAATTGACTTGGAATAAGATTAAAAAGTTTTTGGTTTGTTGTACACTAGGTGTACCCTGGCATCAAGAGACTAAGGCATCAATCAGTTGAATTTGTGGATGGAAGAAAAGAAAACTTTGATGCTCTAATCCTAGCAACTGGTTACAAAAGCAATGTACCATATTGGCTAAAGGTAACTTTTTGAGGTCCTGGCCTTTTTTTTTTTGGCCATCTAATTAATTAGTCCAAATTTCTTTTTCAAATTGAAATACTTACTATTGATATTTGAATGTATCTTTAACTATAAACTATGAGTGGAGCACTAGAGAAAGACATTCAAATCCTAATGTGTCCCCATTAATGTCTCATGCATATATACAAGGTTAAAACAAGTTTGAGCATGTTCGGGTGTATTCAATTGAGATTTCTAAAATTTTTTCAAGACTTTAGAAATACTGATGTATTTAATTTAGATTTTTTAAGATTTTTTTAAGACTTTTAAGGCATTCAATTGAGGTTTTAAAAAGTTCCACAAAATCCTGAGATATTTAACTTATTTGAGACTAGGATTTGTTAAGACGTCAGTAGGATTTCTAAAGAAAAAACCTCATACGAAATTCAACTTCAAATCCCACCTCCAGACTCAAGATTTCACATAACTCCTCTTTAAAAATATAAAATCTTAAAAAGTCTCAAAATGTCACTTGAAATCTGAAGTAAATACACCCTTTGTTGTAACTTCAGGAAAGTGAGATGTTCTCGGAGAAAGATGGTCTGCCGAGAAGACCTTTTCCGAACGGGTGGAAAGGGCAGTGTGGATTGTACGCAGTCGGGTTCACCAAACGAGGCCTTCTTGGGGCATCCATGGATGCCAAGAACATTGCAAATGATATTGAAGGTCAATGGAGGACAGAGGCAAAGCAAGTTTCAGCCATCTCTTGCTCACATTCAATGCAAAAACATGTACTTGATTTCCAACCCAATTTATTGAGTAATTGAGGTTGGGGAGTATATGTTTTGAGAAAGAAGGGAGAATTTTTGGGGTGTGATACCAAAGTTAATTTGGTACCAAAAATGACAAATTCGAAGGGGGAAAGATAACTGAATTTCTCCATTTGGAGGAAAGAATTCTTCAGTTGTAGCTTGTAATTACACCGGAAAAAGGAGGTTTGGTAGGCAAAGTACTCAAGGCCTACATTTTGTAAATTTTCCTATTTTCTCTCTTTTTTTTTTTTTAGGTTTTTC